AGTTATGCTAAGGAGTTCCCCTAGCTCTTTTTCTACAAAATGACCCCTGCTTGAGGCTATACAACTCCCCTTTAGAAACGTCTTTTCAAGTTTCGTCCTAGCAGGGTCTCAGTATGCCTTATAAAACTGTAGTGGCTCTTCCTGATTACTCACAGATCCCTTATTACTTGTGAGTCATTTAGATGGAGTTGGTGTGTATTTGCCCTGGTCAGTGTCATACCCAAGTCAGCAGTTTCCTAGACAAGGAACAGGGCTCACGTAGAAGGAATAGCTCTTCCTTACACTGGACTTAGGGTTGCCAACCTCCAGGTGGAAGCTGGAGGTCTCCCGCTATCACATCATGTTCTTATGTTCTTAGACGTGGGACCAAGAGATTAGGGTTCCCAACCTCCAGGTGGGGGCTGGAGATCTTCCACTCTTACAACTGATCTCCAGGCAACAGAGATCAGTTCTCCTGGAGAAAACGGCCATTTCAGAAGATGGACTCTATGGGATCACCCCCCATTGAAGTCCCTCCCCTCCCTAAACCCCGCCCTCCTCAGGCTCCACCCCCCCCAAATCACCAGATATTTCCAAGCCTAGAGCTGGCAATCCAAACTGGACTATTTAGATATGAGCTGCTGTGTTCCGAAGAACAAGTGTGAAAATTAGAAAGCAGCCTAGTTTGAAGAAGAAGAGGAGATTGGATTTATACCCCACCCTTCACTGGGAGTCTCAGAGCGGTTTACAATCTCCTTCCCTTCCCCTCCCTACAACAGATCCCCCTGTAAAGCAGGTGGGGCTGAGAGAGCTCTTTCAAGAACTGCCCTTGAGAGAACAGCTCTGGGAGACCTTGTGACTGATCCGAAGTCACACCAGCAGCTGCATGCGGAGGAGTGGGGACTCCAACCCGGTCCTCCCAGGTTAGAGTCCACCCTCCTAACCACTACACCAAACTGAACCAGACTTTTAATAAAGTGGTTTCTTCTGTGCACAAAGTCACAGGACGCTCTACAATAAATCCAGGAGACTCTAAAATAATGGCATAGAGTAAGGAATGGGTCATTACGAAAACCACATGGGTGTTTCCAATTGGAAAGTCCCTTCATATAGAGATGTTTCTGATGGTAGCCATTGTTGGTCTGCAGTAGAACAACCAAATGCGAGTCCAGTAGTACCTTTGGAGACTCACAAGATTTGGGAGGGGAGGTTATAAGCTTTTGAGAGTCAAAGTTCCCTGTATCAATCCTGAAGGGCTGACTGAATTTATTTAGATATTTATGTCTTGCTTTTCTCCCCAATGGCAACCTAAAGCGCTTTATGACTCTGTGCTCCCCACCTCAGTTTTCCTCATAACAACAAACCTGTGAGGTAGGTTCACTGGAGAGAAAAATTTACCCAATATCACCCCAGTGAGCTTCCAAGGCAGAGTGGGGATTCTAACTTGGATCTCCCTGATCCCAGTTCTTTACACTGTGCTGGCTCTTAACGGATGGGTTACTTACCAAACAAAATAGCAGGTTTGGTTGACATGCTTTATTAAACACAAGAATACCTTTCAAAGAGGCTCGAATTGGCACCTCTGCTTTGGTTAGCAGGCCCTGCCAAGAAACCAGATGGCAGATCCAACCTGAGCACAGACCGCTGGGAAAGGTCTTTCTGGTATGACCACAATTCAGACACAGCAGTCAAGACAGAGCGAGGAAACCAAATGGCCGCTTGTGAGGTAATGCCATTTAAATGAACAGAACGCTTCTTGTTCGGAGAGCTTGGCCGTCCAGCCTTTTCCACAAGCAGCGATCCCCAGTGAAGGAAGAGAAACAGCGGCGTCAGTTTGCTTTTATTTGCTTTTGTTTCTGACTCAGCTGTGATTCCGGCCAATTATGGTGTGATAGCTGGTGTGTCACTTTACCAAGAGAGTGAGGCAGGAAAACAGGCGAAAAACAGAGGAAGAAAATTCCACAAAGTGGGCAAACCGGCTTGTTTGTTTGTAATACAGCCTCCTGTGTTTTGAACTTTGCAGCTCTTTCACAAGAGGTCCTTCGTTTTCCACAGAAGACAGGCTCTTTCTCTCCCCCCCCCTGTTTATTTCAGCTCTTTTCAGGTGTTACGACGGTGCACATACCTGTGGATTTGTATGAGCAAATATGGCCCCTGCAACATATCCACATTACATAGAGCAGAGACATCTGGACAGCCTCAGCTCATCCACACAACAGGCTGGATCGCACAAATCTGTTTTGCTGGCAGAGGAGCTTTACTCTCTGGCACAAGCAGCCTTCCCTCAGTATAAGGGACTCCTGACCTCTTCCATTAGGGACAGCTTCTTGCGCCAGAGGAAAGGGCCACTGCTAGGAATCTGCCTTCCAAAGTGGCCATTTTCTTCAGGTGAACTGATCTCTGTCACCTGGAGATCAGTTGTAATCGCAGGAGATCTCCAGCCACCCCCTGGAGGTTACAAGTAAGTATGCAAGGACTTCCAGTGAAAAACAATAACAGTAATTCACGTAACACTGGAGATAAGATCCTGTTTCTCTGCCAGGCCGTTCTTAAAGGTAAACACTCTCAGTTCAGCCATCTGACTCCTTCTGCTTCCAAACAAAACATCAACACAAGGCTCTTGCTGGTTGATAGATTTATAGTCCAAGATACAAAAAAAGCAGGCGAAGATGTACCGGCTATACAACCGTTATGAGAATCCTTTCTCAAGGCTGGACTTATATTGAAGCCACACCTAAAAACTCAATCTCCAGCGCTGAAGCTCCTAATTCTGGCACAGCGTCAATCTCTCTAATGAGGCGTTTTGGCTTTCACCAAAATTACTGCACATACTCATCCTCAAGTTAAACAATAGAACTTGGCTATGACAGGATAATCCGAGCAGCCAAACACACCTACTGCCCATCAAGATAACGCAGATGCCGATCACTGGATCATTGACTGGCCAAGGACCTGGAACGCGCGCTGCATGCACGTCACAGGGAAGTGACGTTATGATGCTGGGCACGCTGGGGGCAGGGCCACGACCATATAAGGGAAAACCATAGAGTTTTCCCTTGTATGGCTTTGGCCCCACCCCCAGCGTGTCCGGCATCATAACGTCACTTCCTGGTGACGCGCACGCTGGGGCGCGCACGCTGGGGCGGGGTTCCCCCCGGGGCCCGATTCCCTGGCGTCGGGGAACGGGCCTCTGGGGCGGGTTTTTTTCTGCCCCCCGGGGGGACTTGGCAGCCATAGCGTTGTCTGGAGTCTACCATGTGTGCTGCTGGTCAACACATGACCCCTTCCCTAGTATTTTCCCCATTTTTCGCTGCAGGATTGCCTCATCGCATCAGGCAGGTAGAGTATCACCCCACCAACAGTATTTCCTGCTCATGTAACTGTCTCCGTATTACGCTATCTAATTTCCTAGTTCTGTATTGCTTGAGTGTGTGAGTGTTCTATTTTAATTGTGTGTGTGTGTGAATTATCAAGTAAAAGAAATCATATTTAAGATCTAGTCTCCTGGTCTATTTCTGGGGATCTGAATAAACTGGACTCTGGTGTACGCAGGTTATTGCTCCCTTAAAGCCTATATCCATTTAAGATTCATAATTCCCCATCTTTAATAAAGAAATAAGGCAATTTGGCTAACAACGCTGGGGACACCTGGTATAAGAACAACTTTTTTCCTTTCAAAACCAAGCCCATTACATAAAACTTGTTTTAAAAAAACTTTCCTGGTTGCTAAGATAATACTTTCTTTCAGTGTCTCAAGACGGGCTTTGATCTCGGAGCACGATTAAGCAAAAATTCCACATGAGATCTCTGGCTGAGAAGGATTTTCTGCAGTGCTTTGTGTTTTCCCTCATCTGCTGTCGACCCTGTTAATCTTCCTCTGCAGTGAAAAGGGCTTTTTATTCTCTCTTGGTTTCTGGCGCTTGCAAGGATGGGGACTTATCCATCATCATCTGACATTTACTCGTCCCTCTCAGATTTTTCATACTCGGGTGCATTGTGGGAATAGGGACCGGGACAGACATTTGCAAATCGCCTTTTGATCTCCCAGCAGAACTGCTTTTAACAGCCTTTGAGGTGCAGAAGATGGCAGGTGATAAATGCTGAGTGCCATACTCTGAAAATATTCACCTGCCAACTTACGCCCAGCAAACTGATGTTGAAGGCAATAGAGCACAAGCAGGCATTTCATTGTTCGGTCAACTGGCACTCCCAATCAATTCAGCAATTTTCTGAAATGCCTCAGAGGAGTTTTTCTAGGATTTCCAGTCTCCAGGTGAGGCCTGGTTTTTCCGTTCTTAAAGGTAAACACTCTCAGTTCAGCCATCTGACTCCTTCTGCTTCCAAACAAAATATAAACACAAGGCTCTTGCTGGTTGATATATTTATAGTCCAAGATACAAAAAAGCAGTCGAACCTTTATGAGAATCCTTTCTCAAGGCTGGACTTATATTGAAGCCACGCCTAAAAACCCAATCTCCAGCGCTGAAGCTCCTAATTCTGGCACAGCGTCAATCTCTCTAATGAGGCGTTTCGGCTTTCACCAAAATTACTGCACATACTCATCCTCAAGTTAAACAATAGAACTTGGCCATGACAGGATAATCCGAGCAGCCAAACATGCCTACCGCCCATCAAGATAACGCAGTTGCCGATCACCGGATCATTGACTGGCCAAGGACCCGGAACGACTATCTTTTCTTTTCCATTGTCTTAAGCCATCCATTCTAAGAAGTGTCACTGTTAGTAAACATTATATTAATTGTCCAACACTTAATTCCATTCTTTTGACCCATTAAGGAACTGGCAGCTTCTAGTATCTTCCTGGGGACAACATGCCTTGGCGGCTCACGCCCCAAGCCCCTCGTAGGGTATATAAGGAGAGCATCTGCCTATTGTTGTTTTTTTTTTAATACAAATTTTAATGAGACCAACTGCAAGGGCGTATATGCAGACAGCATGGCCTGTGACAGAAAGGAATCAAAACCCCTAAGTGGGAAGCTTATGAGTCCATTTGACAGCAGAGCTAAACAAAGGAGGGGCTCCTCTTCAACAGGTCTAGATGCGTGTACCAAATACATTCTAAGGGGAAAGAAACCTGAAAATCCATCATACTTTTGGTCCGAATTGTAGTTTTCCAGCTGGCTGATGGACTAGCCAAATTACGAGCATGTGTATTTGCCCCAGATGTGCAACATAAATACAGATGTAATAAAGAGAAGACTCATTACGAGAACTGGAAAAGGACCAACTTTAAGGCCAGGAGAATCCTCTGTATAGAATCTCCACATTCCCCCTGTGCCTGCAGATGTCATACGGCCTGCACTCCTTGTTCCACAGCTAGCATTTTTTCTTTGCCGGACGGTGAAGCCCTCGGGGCTACGGCTTTGCTGGGGGAGCGACCCGAGGTGCCCACGCTCGTCGCACTGGGATTCGGCCCCAGCATGGCACCAGCTTCGTCAACCGGCTGCAGATGAAAGGAACCTCCGCGGCCCATCCGGAGCCTTTCAGAGCCAAAGGGGGGCGCCCATTGTTCACAGTCTCTTCTCTCGCCTACCTAACCCACCCTGTCTCGCTGACTCCATTCATAGCTCTGTCTGGAGTCTACCACGTGTGCTGCTGGTCAACACATGACCCCTTCCCTAGTATTTTCCCCATTTTTCGCTGCAGGATTGCCTCATTGCATCAGACAGGTAGAGTATCACCCCACCAACGGTATTTCCTGCTCATGCAACTGTCTCCGTATTACGCTATCTAATTTCCTAGTTCTGTATTGCTTGAGTGTGTGAGTGTTCTATTTTAATTGTATGTGTGTGTGAATTATCTAGTAAAATAAATCATATTTAAGATCTAGTCTCCTGGTCTACTTCTGGGGATCTGAATAAATTGGACTCTGATATACACAGGCTATTGCTCCCTTAAAGCCTATTTCCACTTAGGATTCATAATTCCCCATCTTTAATAAAGAAATATGGCAATTTGGCTAACAACGTTGGGGACCCCTGGTATAAGAACAACTTTTTTTCTTTCAAAACCAACCCCATTACATAAAACTTGTTTTTAAAAAACTTTCCTGGTTGCTAAGATAATACTTTCTTTCAGTGTCTCAAGACGGGCTTTGATCTCGGAGCACGATTAAGCAAAAATTCCACATGAGATCTCTGGCTGAGAAGGATTTTCTGCAGTGCTTTGTGTTTTCCCTCATCTGCTGTTGACCCTGTTAATCTTCCTCTGCAGTGAAAAGGGCTTTTTATTCTCTCTTGGTTTCTGGCGCTTGCAAGGATGGGGACATATCCATCATCATCTGACATTTACTCGTCCCTATCAGATTTTTCATACTCGGGTGCATTGTGGGAATAGGGACCGGGACAGACATTTGCAAATCGCCTTTTGATCTCCCAGCAGAACGGCTTTTAACAGCCTTTGAGGTGCAGAAGATGGCAGGTGATAAATGTTGAGTGCCATACTCTGAAAATATTCACCTGCCAACTTACGCCCAGCAAACTGATGTTGAAGGCAATAGAGCACAAGCAGGCATTTCATTGTTCGGTCAACTGGCACTCCCAATCAATTCAGCAATTTTCTGAAATGCCTCAGAGGAGTTTTTCTAGGATTTCCAGTCTCCAGGTGAGGCCTGGAGATCTCCTGGACTTACAACTGAATACTGAGATCAGTGCCCCTGGAGGAAGGGCTGCTCTGGAGCATGGGCTCTATGGCATTGCTCCCTGCTGAGGCCCCTCCCTACCCCAAACCCCACCCCCTCCTTGCTCCTCCCCCAAATCTCCAGTTTCCCATCCCAGAGTTTGCAACCCTAAGTTTTTAATATATGCTAATGTTGACTGGCAGACCTTGTTTCCCAAACCACTTCTTCTCTCAGCCTTGGGGAAATGTAGAAAATTGTTTATGCCGCCTTAGGGTTGCCAGAGGGGCTGTGGAGGCTTAGAGGTTAAGACGCTGAAGCTGCAGACCAGAAGGTTAGTAGTTTGGCCATTCGAGACCCTAGTGCCATGTGATGGAGTGAGCTCCCGTCTCTGGCCCCAGCTCCTGCCAACCTAGCAGTTCGAAAGCAAGAAATTGCAAGTAGATAAATAGGTACTGCTTCGGTGGGAAGGTCACAGTGTTCCGTGCGCCTTGGCGTTTAGTCATGCTGGCCACATGACCACAGAAATGTCTTCGGACAGTGCTGGCTCTTCGGCTTGGAAACTGAGATGAGCACCACCCCCTAGAGTTGGATTCGACTGGCTTTCGAGCAAGGGAAACTTTTACCTAGGGTTCCCAGGTCCCTCCTGGCCATCTGCAGGGGGTGCAGAGGTAGGGTTGCCAGATCCCCACTGAGAAACTCCTGGAGATTTGGGGATGGAGCCTGGGGAGGACAGGGACCTCAGTGGGGCACAAATGTCATAGAATTCACACACACCCCAAGTATCCATTTTCTCCAAGGAGATGAGCTGTATAATTCCCGGGGATCCCCAGGTCCCACCTGGAGGCTGGCATCCCTCACTGCTGGATTTTTTTTTACTTCTTTAGCTTCTATGCCTGGTTCAGTAGCAGCCTGAGAAGCAGAAATTCCAGAGGTAAAGCTTTTCCTCCCCCCCTTACAAGATGCCTGCCACTTAACCCTCCCCTCTTCAAAAGTCCTGGCCAACAGGCAGGCCTCACCGTACCTGCAGAAGGTCTCCAAGGCGGGGCCTCCCCCTCAGCTCTTCAGGGAGCCCATTCCACACGATGGGAAAGGCCCGGGCTCTGGTCGATGCCAGTCAGAACACCCTGAATGGTGGGACAGTCATAGTTGGTGCACAGGGACATATGGAAGGAGATGGTCCTTCTAATATATGGGTCGCAGGCAATGCTCCCTCTAAGCCGTGGAGTCGTGTGAGCAAAAATGCTACTTTGTGAGCTGCTGGCATTAAAGTTGTGAGCGAGCGATTTGGCTACTGCATAAATTGGTTTGCTCTGGAGCCATCCTTCCTGAGCTAAGACAAAAATGTGTGAGCCGGAGGCTAAAAAACTGTGAACTGGCTCACACTAACTCAGCTTAGAGGGAACACTGGTCGCAGGGTTTTAAAGGTTGTGTGACCAGCAGCTTCAGTTGAACTCAGAAACAGACTGGCAGTCAATGTAGCTTTATCAAAAGGGCCAGCATGTGTTCCCAGTGGCTGGCCCCTGGCAACAGTGGGGCTGCTGCATTCTGAACCAATGGTGGTTTCCAGGTTGTCTTCAAGAGCAGCCCCACGTAGGGCACATTGCAGTAATCCATCTGTGAGGTTACAGAAGCAGGGATCAGCATGGCCAGATCAGCTAAGTCTAAGTAATGACAAAGTTGGTAAATAAGGCCAGATCAGCTAAGTCTAAGTAATGACAAAGTTGGTAAATAAGGTGCAGCTGATGGAAGACGCTCCTCGCCACCATGCCAGCCTGCTTTTCAAACAGCAAGGCAGGGTCCATGAGCTCTTAATCTGCTCTGAAAAAGCCAATGTTATTCCATCTAGGAAAAGTGGATTCATTCCCTCTATAATATCAGCTTTCCCAACCAGCATTACACCTCTGTCTTGTCTGGATTCAGCTTCAGTTCGTTCTGCCTTGGCCACCTGACCACAGCCTCAAAGCACCGGTTCAGAACCAAGGCAGACTCATCCAGAAGCTTGGATAATGAGATACAGGGTTGGATCTCATCTGCAAGGTTGGATCTCATTCGGTGGTCTCATATATATATATTTAAGAGGATGGGTGAGAGAATATATAACCCTGTGGCATCCCACAAGATACATTCCACCCAGTTGATTCTGCACCTGCAGTGGAGACTTCTTGTGCCTGCTCAGACAGAAAAGAGCAAAACCACTGAAAGGCTACTAACTCCATATTCAAGCCAGTGGAGAAGAATGGAGTGGTCAACTGTATCAAAGGCTGCTGAGAGAGATCCAACAGTATCAACAGGGAAGATTGTCCCCCTGTCCAACTTCAAAGATTGTCCACCAGGGCCACTAAAGCCATGCTGATACCAAACCCAGGCCCGAAACCAGACTGAAACAGGTCAAGGGAAGATGTGACATTAAAGGGACAATTTTTTTTCTTTCTCCAGGCATGGCCACCTTAATTCGACCCCAGACCAACTTTCTCTTCCTTTGGTATTTGTATAACAAATTATTTCACTGAGTGCAGCTTCTTTGGGCAGTTTTGTATAACGGTGAGAAGACCAAGCACAGAAATTCTAAGTAGCTCCATCCTGCAGACATTTAGCAGAAAGAAAACCCCTGAACTGGGCTCCTTCCTTCGGTGGCCCTTCAGCTACTTGGGAGACTTTGGAACAGTGTCCCCACTAAGCTGAGTTCGTGTGAGCTAGCTCACAGTTTTTTAGCTTCCGGCTCACATATTTTTGTCTCAGCTCAGGAAGGGATGGCTCCAGAGCAAACTAATTGATGCAGCAGCCAAATCGCTCACTCACAACTTTAATGCCAGTAGCTCACAAAGTGGAATTTTTGCTCACAAGACTCCACAGCTTAGAGGGAGCGTTGCTTGGGACATATATACAATGGGAGTTCTTCGTAACTTGTTGTCTAGAATGGCCAACACTGCCTGGAGGGGGGAAAGTGTCCTATCATTTTAACAGAGGCTTTAAAGGCTGTTCTTTACCAGGTGATGTTACTGACCTCCCTGCCGTGAACACCTTCAGCTGCAGATTTCCACACATTAAGCAATAGTAAAGGGACATTTTTTTTCCTCCAGACGTGTTGGCAACCTTGCAGGTGACCTGCCAAGCTTAGTCCTCCAGCAAATATTTACTGGACCTGTCAGGTGTGTGACAGTTCCCCTTCCTTTTTAGAGTCCCTGCCAGGAAGGGGGTGGGGAGAGTTGGTTTTCCAAACCCATGGTTTCTGCAGTGATCTCCCTTACATAATGAAAGTGAGGACTAAGAATAACTAACAATAAATAAGCTTTCGTAGAGCACGTTTCCTGTGCTCCAAGAGCCACTCTCGCTTTCCTGCGTCCCGAGGGCAGATGGAACAAACGGTTTAGATTTTTTAAAAAACGATATTTTGGTTTATGCCTGTATCTGTTTACATTTCCTGTCTTTATCCGACTTGGTGCATTCGTCACACAAAAGAGGAATCTTGCTTCGTCACACAGCAGAGTTAGGAGTTCCCAGCCTCCAGGTCATAGCCAGAGACAATGTTCCCTCTAAGCCGTGGAGTCTTGCGAGCAAAAATTCTAATTCGTGAGCTACTGGCGTTAAAATTGCGAGCGAACGATTTGGCTGCTGCATAAATTACGTTGCTCTGGAGCCCTCCTTCCTGAGCTAAGACAAAAATCTGTGAGCTGAAGGCTAAAGAACTGTGAGCTAGCTTACACTAACTCAGCTTAGATGGAACACTGGCCAGAGATCTCCCGAGATTACAGCTGGTCTCCAGATGGTGCAGATCAGTCCCCCTGGGGGAAATGAGTGCTTTGGAAGAGTCTGGGGATTATACCTGGCTAGGATCTCTCTCCCCTCCTCAAACAAACCCCACCTTTCCCAGGCTCCGCCTCCAACCCTCCTGGAATTTCCCAACCTGGAGTTGACAACCTTAGCAGAGCTTAAAGTATACAGAAGGAATGGTTCTTCCTCATGGTAACCCCCCCCCCCTTAGATCATGAGGGCAGCAAAACCAGGCCACCCAGGGACAAGGTAAAGAGTTCTTATATAGCTGGGGCGAGAAACATAGGACTTCGGTTAATTTACAAAGCGGGGGGGGGGGGTCTGAAATGCCCTGATGAGAATTGAGTATGTTGTAAGAGGCCCTGGATATTGAAAGCAAGTAGGTCAGTTAAAGCGGGAGGAGAGTCGGGGGGGAACTTTGCTTGCTCAAAAAAGTGTATAGAATCTGGGAGATTTAGATGGGCACAAAGAATTTCCAAATCAGCTTGTTCCGTCCTATTTCGAACTAGCAGGTTAGCCAGTTTGCCATTCTCTGAGACACCACTGCTCCAGAAGCTAACTTTTTGGCTGCGCCCAGCCCATGAGTCTCATGCAGCAACAGCATTCCACTGATGGCTCTCAGTTTCTTCCTAGCTGGCTGATGCGATAGGAAATCACCATAAAGTTGACATAAGTTGTTTCCATTCACCTAGTCTGGAAAGGACATCATTCATTTGCTCAGTTTTTACAGTTGAACTCCTGACAAACATTATTGCATTCCACTGTTTTCCTTGTCATTTCCCCATATTTTCTAGACCCGATTTGTGGTGATTTCCCCCCCCACACCTAAAACTCAATCGCAGTGCTGGCCTGTTCTGTGTGGACCGGCTAAGAGCTATTCAGGCTTCTCAGCACTACTGTCCCATTAATTTTCCTGTGAGGTAAGAGGAAGTAACTATCTAAAAAGCCAAGAAGCAGAAGCCTCTTTAGAAAGAGGAGTCAGGTAGAAAATGAAATAACAGGGACAAACAGAGGGGGGCCCAGGACATTAGAAGCCCTCCCACTGTTGACCCCCCCAAGCACCAAGAAGACTGAGCTTCACTTGCCCCAGAGTCCCCATCTATACCTTGTGGCTAATAGCCACTGATGGACCTCTGCTCCATATGCTTATCTAATCCCCTTTTGAAGCCGTCCATGCTTGTAGCCGCCATCACTTCCTGTGGCAGTGAATTCCAAGTGTTAATCACTCTTTGGGTGAAGAAGGACTTCCCTTTTATCCGTTTACTCACTACTGTCCCATTAATTTTCCTGTGAGGTAAGAGGAAGTAATTATCAAAAAAGCCAAGAAGCAGAAGCCTCTTTAGAAAGAGGGGTCAGGTAGAAAATGAAATAACAGGGACAAACAGAGATCATAACTGAATTGGACAGTTGTGAGTAAACCTTCAGCAGTCCAGATTTTTAGGGGGCATATTGCAGTCAGTGTTCCCTCTAAGCTGAGTTGGTGTGAGCTAGCTCACAGTTTTTTAGCCTCCAGCTCACAGATTTTTGTCTTGGCTCAGGAAGGAGGGCTCCAGAGCAAACTAATTTATTCAGTAGCCAAATCACTTGCTCACAACTTTAATGCCAGTAGCTCACAAAGTAGAATTTTTGCTCACAAGACTCCACAGCTTAGAGGGAACATTGATTGCAGTATATTAAGTGTTACATAGAATCACAATTTCAGTTCCATTTCTGGATGATTACAGAAAAGGAAAGCTTCAGCAGCACTGATAGCCTAGGTTCTGCTGTGGAAGCAACTCAGTTTTATAAGAGATCAGCTTTTCTGTTTAAAACACCTAGAGATAGCACCTAAATTGCAACAGGATCAGAGCTGGTTAAAGGCATGTTGAGGCCCTATGCTATGTCAAGGCATGTTGAGGCCCTATGCTATGATAAAGTCCCACAGCATTACCTAATCCTCCCCATGGACTATTCTAACACTGAAATATAGTAATTAAAATATATTTAGAGGTCTCTCATTATCTGAGGCCTTAACCTATGGCTTACTTAGATTGTGCGTAAATCCTACTCTGAATAGAATGAAGTGCAGCTACTAATAATAGTGATATCAAGTTGCAGCTGACTCACAACCACCCCGGGACCACGGGGTTCTCAAGACAAGAGATGAGCAGAGGTGGTTTGCCATTGCCTTCCCCTGCACAGCAACACTCGTTTTCCTTGGCAGCCTCCCATCCAAATCCTAACCAGGGGTCATTTCCTAGAAAAAGAGGTGCAGGAGCTCATTAGCGTAACTTATTTGCATATGCCACACCCCCTGAAATCACCGGAAGTGTGTCAGAAGGCAACACCCACCGCTCAGGCTCCACTGGACTGTTTTGGATTGCTAGCTATTGGGGGGGGGGGCTGCAGATCTGTCCTCGCAGAGGAGGGAGAGCTTATACCTGAATAAACCCTGGCTTAAAAGGTGCCACTGGACTGTTTTGGACCAGGGGGCCAGGGGGAGCTCTGCAGCTTACCTGGCTGCTTCTTGCTCTGACTGAGGGCTGCTGGGAGCAGGGGGCGGGGCTTGTTGCACGTGCCCGCCCCCTGGGCTCTTTACTGCCGGAGTTCCGCTCCTGTGTGCTCCTGCAGGAAATGACCCCTGATCCTAACCATGGCCAACCCTGCTTAGCCAAGCTCTGACAAGATATGGTTAGCCAGGGTTATTCAGGCTGCTGAGGCACGGTTAGGAGAACCTGCATGCTAATTATTTTATACTTCTGGACCTAATCTTCTGCTTGCCCAATGGAAGCTGTTTAGATACGTACGTCACAGAACACAACTCCCCACCCCCACATACTTTAAAATGCAGAGTAGGTATCCTTCTCAGTTTCCATGACACTACTAATAACACACAAGGCCGGAGTCTTTTTATATATTTATATATATAAAAAGGTTCTAATTCAAACAAAGGCTTCCCCCTCTCCCACACAGTGTTTACATTAAAGTTCTCCACACAACAGGCCAAAAAACCCCCAGTTTTCACCACACAAGCAGGAACTGGGAGGAGAGAAGAGGCCCCAGAGTTCTATTTTAACTTTTCAGTTTCAAGTCCAAAGGCTTCAGAAAGTGAGGTAAAGGCAAGGCGTCCAGAGCCTCTGGGAACTGACCCGGCGCAATGGTCCCAATTAAGACTTGCATGGATTTGACAAAGAGAGAAGGCGGGGCGAGGCCTGCCAGCCACTGGAACCTGTTCTGGCCTAAAAGGTCCTGCCACTGCTGCTGGTCGTCCAGCAGCCGCTGCTTCATCGAGAAACGGAAGCCCTGAGGCACAAAGAGGAAGAGGGAGTCAAGGAGGAGCAGTTTGGCACGCCGATTGGCCGCTGGGCTCTCCCAGATCTGCTGCAAGAGGAGGTCCAAGGGCGTGAGGCCAGTGCAGTCGTTTAGTCCAGGGGAGGCCCCGTGGCCTAGCAACAGAAGCAGACACTCGGGCCTGGCCAGTTCACAGGCCACGTGAAGGGCCGTTTTGCCGCCTTCCACGCGGCTGCACCCTCTGCGGTCCAAATAGCCAGCCCACTCACTGGCCGGGAAGTCTCTGATGGCCTTGAGGATCTCTAGAAGGATGTGGACGCGGTTGTAGCGGACGGCCATGGCCAGGTGAGGCGCTGAAGAATGGCAGCAGCTGAAGTGGAGGCTGGGTATCGCCAAGGCGCTCTTGGGAAACTTACGGAGGAGATGTCGGGCTCTTAATTAACCAACATTTATTGAGACAAATGAACACAAATCACCAGTTGCGCAAGCCACGGAAGTTAGCTGCAGCTAGGGAGAGCTGACTACATTTGCAATTATCTGCCCTGAAGTATGGATTTGGCTAGCGCATAATGTTCACGCATATTTACGAGGCTAACAACCTGTTCTTAAGAAGTCATAAACTGGTTCATAACATAAAATGACACTCTGCATGTCGGTGGTGGAAACTGTCACCAAGTCACAGACTTGTGGGAACCCTGGTGGGTTTTCAAGGTTGAGAGACCAATAGAGGGGTTTGCCATTGCCTGCTTCTGCGTAGGAACTCTGGGCTTCCTCGGTGGTCTCCCTAGTCAGCTCTGACCCCACTGAGCTTCTGAGATCTGCTGAAATCGGGATAGGCTGGGCCATCCAGGTCAGGGTATGTTTGTTTAAGTCTATTTTGCATCTTAATGGGCATAAATTAAAGGTTCTGTGCAAATACCGCCCAGTGGCACCTTTAAGACCAACAAAGGTTTATTCAAGGTATGAGCTTTCGTGTGCAAGCACACTTTTTCAAATACATTGGAATGGAAGGTAACAGTTCAAACTCATAGACAGGCTGAACAGCAAATCAGCATGTTAACATGATGATGTTTTAAGATATGCAAAGACAAAACTAAGGTTATGAGGTCAACAGTTTTGATTCAATTAAGGGGGCAAAAACAGTGAGGCAATAAATACATCAAAATAGGAGATACATGTGTGAGGTATCCTTTCTAATTGTGGAAAGTAAACTGCTGTGCTCTCAGGCGTGGAGGCAGCCAAGGGCATTTTTTTCTTCTTTAGGGTGTCAGCAAGACAGTCCAATAGATTTGGGTTTTGCTGTTTTATATTTTTGTTTCCACTGTAAGCCGCCTTGAACCACAAGGAAAGGTGGGAAGGAAATGTTTTAATAAATAAATCTAACAAATATTAACTGTGCATTCTTGCTCATTTTAGTTTATGGTGAGAAAAAGAACCCTGCTCCCCAAACGCCTCCGTGTGAAACCCATTTGCACAGAGGAGCTAAACGCCCCTCCCTTCCCAAGGCTGCTGCTCTGACAAATAAAAAAATCAGAAATCCCCCCCAGCCCCCGCTGCTCACAATACCACTAAAGAATCAGGAGATCCATTTGGAAAACCTCCTACATCATGTGTACTTTTCCTGTACATAATGACTAACAGAAGTCCCCAGTGGTTTTAGTGATACATCCTCAACAGGTAATTTCTTTTCTGCAGTATCCCAGATCTTCTCTTCATCAAGCAACTCATTCTACAGAGCAGATGCAGTTTTCTAGAAGAGCTGTTCACACAGTGTGGAGGGGAACGGGGGGGGGCACTTCTCCCCACAAGCTATTTTGTGCCAGGGCTGTGAGATGCCTCTTTTTGAGAAGGTCTCCTGAAGAGGAACTCGTTAAGTCCGCTGACTCCTTCTTTCTATTCTCCCATGCAAAAAAACCCATGCGTAGCAGTCTCCTTCCCTCTACCAGTCCCTCAACATTCTGCGTTCTTTCCCTTTACCAATTCCTCAACATTACTCAGAACAGTATGGGGCACTGCGGGACTCTGTAAGTCAGCTCCCTCTTTCTCCCAAAGTAATCTACTTCTATCTCATTCGCTCCACAGCAAAACTTGTGGATTCATTTCCACCCACCCTAAACACATGAAGCTGCCTTCTACTGAATCAGACCCTCAAGTTCGTCAAGGTCACTGTTGTCTACTCAGACTGGCAGTGGCTCTCTGGGGTCTCAGACAGAGGTCTTTCGCATCATCCACTATCTGATCCTCTTACCGGGAGATGCCAGAGATTGAACCTAGGAACCTTCTGCATGCCTAATAGATCCTCTGCCACTGAGCCGCAACACTTCCCCCATGCACACCTTACCTATTAACCAATCATGTTTTAACCCCTCCCTCCCTCCAAGGAGCCTCCGGTGGCTTGCCTGGTCTTCCTCTTCTCCATTTGGCCCTTTCAACCACCTAGTAAGGGTGATAAGCAACTGGCCCAAGATCACCCAGTGAGCTTTTTGTCCAGTGAATATTTGGACCCTAGTCCAACATCCAAACCGCTATACCACACTAGAATTCAGGACACTACACCAAACAGGCAGGCAGGCAGTAATCTCTTCCCTTCAGCAGTACAGCTGGATAATTATTACCCAGCCCCCCCACCCAGGCTATATTTCCACTCTTCATTTGCAGTTTGCAGTCCATGTTGGCGATTCACTCTTCTTTTCGTTCCTAAATAGAATGTTCAAAGAGAGGGCTGAGTGGACTGATTGAACAACCAGCTTAAATCCAGCCCTCTCCTTTCCTCCCCAGGCAGGTGAAGTTAAAAACTGCACAGCCCGGTGTTCACCAGACACCTGGAGTCTCACAGCCTCCGCGCGGTGAGGCCACCGCCCTTCAGGTCTCCTTGGATGTGACGAGGGACGAAAGGCATTTTAAAAATGCTGCACGGAATGACTTTTTGCTTTTTATGAGTAGAGCTGTCAATATCACCTCAACCACAGGTCTCCCTGATGAAAGGAATTCTGTGAGGCCCCTCCCCAACTGTGCTGAACACAACTGAGGAAAATCCTTGTCACCAACAAGAAGAGATTGGATTTATACCCCACCCTTCCCTACCCAAAGGAGTCTCAGAGTGGCTTACAATCTCCTTTCCTTTCCCCTCCCCACAACAGACACCCTGTGAGGCAGGTGAGTCTGAGAGAGCTCCTTTGAGAACTGCTCTTGAGAGAACAGCTCTGAGAGAACTTGTGACTGACCCAAGGTCACTCCAGCAGCTGCATGTGGAGGAGTAGGGAATCAAACCCGGTTCTCCCAGATTAGAGTCCGCGCTCCTAGTCACTACACCAAGCTGGCTCTGTGCAAAACTGAGGGGGAGAGACAACATATATTACACCTTTCTCTTTCGACCCAATTTGGCAAAGGAAGACAAGGCTATTCAAACTTGAAGAGCAACATATCATTTAACCAGGTCCTAACAGCTAGCTGTCTCCAAGTGTGAGGAAAGTCTTCCCCTGGAATCGAAACTATCCCTTCAGCCCCCTGCATCCAAAACAGAAATTGTTATACAAAATTTTGACTTGGTTAAATCTTTTCCCATATTCCAGGGATGGCCAAACTGTGGCTTGGGAGCCACATGCGGCTCTTTCACACATAGTATGCAGCTCCTGGCAGGGTGGCTGGGGAAGTGAAGGGGAGGCATGCCTCCCTGATCGGTCTTCCCTTCTCCAGCCAGCGTTTCCTTCCCTGGGTAGCCTTGAGGTGGGGGGGAGCAGAGAAAGACAGCAACTTTAACTTTAAATGCATTCTCAAAACTCTCCCCACCCTGGCCGGCTGGCTTGGAGGATGCATTTAAATTCAAAGTTGTTTTCTTTTCTGCCTCTCCCTCCCTCTCCCATCTATTTGCTTTCTTTCCACCTTTCTTTCTTTCTACCTTTCTTTCTGTCTTTCTCCCCTCCCTCTTCACCACGTGTTCTTCAAGCCCCGCCACACCAGCAGACTTGGCTTGGCTCAGAGAAGGCATTTGTCTCTTTAATGTAATATGCAAATTTGTATATTTTTCAATTAAAACATGTGTGTTCATGTCTTGTGGCTCTCAAACATCTGATTTTTTCCCCCTGTGTGGCTCTTATGTTAAGCAAGTTGGGCTACCCCTGCCCTATTCAAATATCCCCCCCCCAGCATAACCACTTCCCCTTTTATTTCCTACCTCACCTTTTAGCCTTGCAATGACCTCCCTATGGCTTTCAGAATTGATGCATCTGCCCCTGGCAACTAATGAAGCACCATAATCCCTGCTGAAATGTATTTTTTAGAGAGCCCTTCTCAGGAGTCTCTGAGCACGCCTCTATCCTTGCTGCCACCCTATATGCCCAAGATGACCAAACTCTGCTAACCACTTTGTTTGGTCTTACTGGAGAAGAGCTAGAGAAATATTAATTTCCCAGCTCAGGAAGGCATGCCGTGAAAACGCTTCCATGCACATCTTGAAAAGAGCTTGTTCCTGTACCCTTGGAGGTCAAGGCTCCAAAAGTCTTGCCCTGCTGAGGCAATTAGCACATAGGCACATGAAACTGATTTCTATCAGGTCAGATCCTTGGTCCAATAAGGGTCAGTCCTGTCTGTTCAGACTGGCAGTGGCTCTCTTGCAAAGATCTTTCTCAGGACCTACGACCTGATTCTTTTACCTGGAGATGTGGGGGTTTGAACCTGGGGCCTTTGTAGTGGTTAAGTGCGTGGATTCTAATCTGGGAGAACCTGGAGAACCACTCCTCCACTTGCAGCTGCTGGATGACCTTGGGCAAGCCATAGTTCTGTCAGAGCTGTTCTCTCAAGGACAGTTCTGGAAAGAGCTCTCTCAGCCCCACCTATCTCACAGCCAGGGTGTCTGTTGTGGGGAGGGGAAAGGAGTTTGTAAGCGGCTCTGAGACTCCGAGTGAAGGGAGGGATACAAATCCAATCTCTTCTTCCTCTTCATTCTGCAGGCCAAACAGATGCTCTACCACCAAGCCGAGGTGGTGGTGACAAAAGTTCAGCTGGAACCAGCTCTGCGTACTGAGAATGCTGGTTGGGTGGATCAGTGCAGAATGCAGCCAGTCCTTGCAGGATCCTGTCCCTATGTGTCCCGCTCATAATATAAATCACATTTTCTGCACCACTTTCCGGTGGCGCGGTGAATGGGGTTCACAGCGTGAAGGGACTAATATGCAGCAGTAATTCCAACCCAGTCTAATTCACCACATCTTGGGAGGGGGGGAGTGTTTCTGCAGGCATCCACTCACCCTGCAGGCCTCCGTGGGCCCATTCGGTATCCTTGGCCCGACTTAACGTGGATTTCAGCAGTTTGCAACACCTCGGAGGAACCCAGGCTCTCCAAGACCGGCTCGCATTTCCTGTCCCCCCTCCTCTCTCTCTCCTTGCAGGCCCCACACCTCGTCGCCTCCAAGCTCCCCGGCCATCTCCCCTCTCCTAGCTAGCTAGTCTGCCTTGCAGAGCTCCATCCTCACACAACCGCACCCTCCAGCCACATTTCTCACCCCCCCC